TATTGAATGGCGCCAATAAATTGCACGTCTAGTTTTCTAGTTGAATCATTATGATATTTGGACCGTTCAACAAGACGACTGATTTAAAAGCCGCCAAAACGTTCATTTAGTTATATTATCTGTTAAGAAAAACCTCGAAATTGAAGACGCTCGCTAAGCTACGATTCGCGATCGCCTTAAATTTCTAACCTATCACGAGACCTACAGGACCGAAATAACTTATTTGTTTATCATTTTATGTTGTTACTAACTATTGTTGTAGCACCAAATTTCGAAATCGTAATAAACATACTAAAACAAGCAGTCGAATACATTGTTTTCCCTTTTTCTCTCTTCCCTCTATGGCGTTGTGGCGGTCTGAATCGCGATATATCTTGTCTTCCTACAGTTATGATTGTATTAGTATTAAGAATTTATTATGAAAATTTATGCTTAACCTACTTGCGTAACGGGTGTGTACGTTAGTTTCCTGTATTGGATTGGATGATACGGGTCATTAACACCCAGTCGTATCTATATCGATTATAGGAAGTATAAGTTGTTGAGTTTAAAATTAAATTAATATACTACAGCCTAACTTAAATTAACCTACTAATCTACTACTTTGTTCAGACGTTCAACGTTGAGTTCAGCTGTTCAACGTTGAGTTCAGCTACTCGGCTGATCGAAAATCAGGCCATTAATTGAATTCCGCGTTCGATCTGTTTTATTGATTAGTACCACAGTGTAGACAAACTGATATATTTTAGGAATCTTACAATTAGACTTACAACCCACTCGAATTCTAAATATTCCCACACATACCAGGTGTATATTCCCACTCACGCTCCCACACAATGAGGAACCATTTGCTCCGGTGCCGCGTAATTAGTTAAACCTACACCGAATAAATTTACAAAGTAACAGATACCTACCGCTAATACGAGGTAGTAAGAGTAGGTAAACATTTGTTCCAACAAACCCCAATGAGGTAGCATTTATTTGAATATCAATAAGGGTTGTGTTCAAACTGTTTTGTTTGTCTATTGTTTGAATAAATCAAATCAGTTGATTCTAGTTTTAAGGTAATTTTAAATTATGGAGCAGAATATTTAGTATTTGCCATATTATACACACACCAAAGTAGAAATGGTTGTAAGTTGAAGTAAGCTTTAAGTAAAACCAATAAATGGTGATTTTAAAATGAAATATGAATTCCTAAAGAAACATGCTTAAAAAATTCATTTTATCCCTGAGATGGGACTCAAACCTATTACGTTTTGCAATCCGGACGGCTGTTCTAGTATTTCTTTCTTATTAATAATATAAAAATTGGCCAAATATAATAATTATTTGATTAGAAAGTTTAAATATTTCTTTCGTTTGTTTGGGTAGATTACCTGAACATCGAAGAAAATAGGCTCTGTATTAGCGAAAAAGTAACAATTGCTTGAAAAAATTGTCATTCCTGTTAGGTACTGGGTAGCTTAGTGATTAGAGCGCCCGGATTGCGGAAGGTCATGAATGCCAAGAAATTTTTAACCATTTTTATAAAGATTATTTTTCAGTATACCATTGTGAATGCAAAAATAAACGCATAAAATAATGAAGATTTGCTCTATTCCGTTTCGTTTTTATTCCGCTAATCTTTTACTATATCATCTAAAAAACAATCACAGATTTTTTCACAGATAATTGTGATGAAATATATTAATCGTAAAATCGTTTTCCATCTGACTGTCCATTAGGACATATACTTTATAGTAAGTGCTCATTTAATATTGTATTCGTTAATATCTTTCTTTAAACACGTTACTATTTAATGATATATTGCATAAACATTTAGATCGACGATCATATTTGTCAATATATCGACAGTTTTCACAACTATAAAAATAAAGATTAAATGTTTATTATATCAAGCGAAAATTAAATTATAAATTTCAATATTTATATTTTATATTCATAAGAGTATTTTATTAAATCATCAATTGTGGTTGTTACATATTTATTCCGAAGAAGTAGAGTGTTATTAAAATGAAATGAATTACTTTCTAAATATTATAATGTACAAAGGCCGTTATAATCGTTTTAATTTATTGTACCTACATTAAAATGGATTATATTCCCAGAAGCGTTCCTTTAATTTATTTATACCTCTCTTTTATGAAAGATAAATAATATCATATTTATTTATGAAATCATTTTAACTGTTGTTTTCCTTCTTTATTTTTATTTACATCTAATCGCCCTTTTGCAATTGGCTTCTTAATAATATCAAGTATAAAATCATTAAATGAAGCCAAGTACAAGAATTTGAATAAAGATTAAGTTCAATTTTATAAAGGACTTGGCCTTCCAAGGTGGTGTTTCCAAAAAGCTACAGCTCGACATAAGCCTTTGTCGACTACAGCGTCGATTTTCAGTTGACGTCTAGTAGCTATTTAAATATGTTACTAGGAAAATATAAAATATTTATATATAAAATTAAATATAAATTATATATAAAATTAAATTAATATACATACCCAATATAATAAAAGCATTTCAAATGTCTCAGGTATTGTAACCATCGTTAGTTTAAAATGACTCGTTAGATTATAAACTTACGTAATTGTAGGAAAGGTTGGTTTATAATAATTCTAGTATGATTCTGAATTGAACTGAAAACGCTTAAATAACTTTTCAGTAGGTAGCTTATGTCGCAGGTTTATGACAAAGACAGGATTCAATCAAGATCTAAGGATAATATAAAAACTTTAAAAAAAAGAACCGTCTCAAAACTTTTAAAATTGACAAATAATATTTATATCAAAAGCCACATATATCAGACACCGCTATTAAAATCGGGCGGAGATCTTCTGTAAGTTTATTAGTTAAATGATGGGCGCCCGAATCCAATTGCATTTTCTTAAATTAGCCGTTGTTAATATAAGTATTATTTATCACTTTATCAAAGTTTGAATTCGTCTCTATTTTTTGAAAGTTTTTATTCCAACTTTTTGTGATATGGATATTTTTTATCTAAAAATCTTAAATATTAGAATTATTATGACAATGTTTATATTATAATTACAATGACAAATTGAGTAGTGAACTATAATATCCATATAATATCCTTCATTTCGATTTTGAAGTCGATTAAAAATTACAACAACATTTTCCTGAACAAATCTCTTTTTTTATTTACTCAATAAAGTAACAGTCGATATTAAAACAATGAAACTAATTCTTTCGGGGTTTATATTGGTTTTATGTTATCCTTAACAAGCTTAGGATTTTAATCAAAATAATAGAGACAGGATTATGATAAAATGAAGTAATAAGTTTGCAATCTTCTAGTTCTTGATCACAATTCAGTCTTTATAATAAACCTATTTATTGTTCGAGAAGATAACAATTCTTTTAGAGTAATGCTGTAAAATAATATTTACTGTGTAAATAATTTAGATATTTATCAATATTAATTTTGAGAAGAGAAAACAAATGTCAATTAGTAAAGCATATCTGTCATAATTCTATTTTCCTAATATTAATCTCATACTATTCAATTATAATTTTTTAAAGACATAAAGTACCATCTTCAAGTTTCAATTTCAAATTCTCAAAAATAATTATGATAAAGTACACAAATTAGCCATTCCAACGGCTGTTAACGTACTAGAGTGGAAGGCGAATATCGTCAATTATCTCTCACCATTTTGTTTGAATGGCCCTCAGTACGACCCAAGTTTTCCTTAAGATGGAATAAGATTCGTTACAGCCAATGTTATTAAGTAATACAAAAATATAGTACTTAAGGGCTACGAAGTATACGAAATTATAAAAAATATAAAAAACTTGAGGCACTTGGAGAATTCTACACTGTATTGAATGGGAGACACGAGACACTTTTCACAGTTTTCATACAGTCAACAGCACATCTGGTTATACAAATTGTCAAATTCATCACTTGATTTTTAATCTTATCGCATTGACAGTAGAACTCAAAACTGTGGAAATTTGACATATCGTGGTAAGCTGACGAGCAGCCGTGTGTACGAAAATTGTCTTTGGTTAATGTTTAAAATAAAAATTTTTCTTCTTTAATGATTAGATTCTAAAAATAAACATGTGCATAATAATATAATTTCATGTCGCAAACCGACGTTACTGAAAATATTACAAATAAATTTTTCTATAACACAGATAAATGAGTTTTAAAAACGTAATGACAATGTCAGATCCATGTGAAACAACCATTTATTACCTTGTTCGAATCATGAAGATTCTCTAGACGATTCCGTGAACCTTTATTCATTCTTTATGCTTGTACTCTACGTACGTCATTGACATGGCATAATTTCTATAAATTGAACTATTGATTTCATAAATAATTTTAACCATTATCAAGAACTTTGCCTTATTGTTCATTGATTAAGAGTCACAATAAGGGATAAAGATCTGACGAAAATTTATCGGAATTCAATTAAATCTTTTCATCATTATTCATGATATGGAAAAATTCTAATACAATAAAAACAATCGCTTTGTTTTTTCGTAAAGTCAACAGTAGATATTCAATAATAATGTACATTGATAAAACAAATATCAATCCCAATACTCTTATCATAGGTACCCATTTTTTTTAAACGTGTTATATATTTATGTGGTTATAATTTTCCTATAAAGGAATTATTTGAATCTGTTAAAAATAGCTATTTTTATTTATTATTTGATTTTCAATTCCCTTATATCAAAGAAAATGTGTATTTTCCTATACAGGGGTTATAGTATAATTTACAAAATGTTTACATAAAGCCGATTAGCAAACCTGACGCATATATTACGTAGGTACGCTATACGTGGTGGGTGTATTAACTTGTTTTTTTTAAACGGTACTGTATTTAGTAAAGAAGCTTATAAAACTGAGCTTATAAAGTACAACACTATTATTAGTGAATATTTTCTAATTATAAGTTTAATCTTGGACGTCAATGTAATTTGCAATATTTAACTAACTTATTAAATATGGTTCTTACCTGTACAACATCCTTTCCTGTCTGTCAGCTTCAACGTAAATCCTATAGTACATAAACAACATTATCACACCAGGAATCCAGAAACTAACACTACTCGATATCACTGCATACACTTTGTTCACAGTGAAACTGCACACTTTTGGAAATCTCTTCCTAAAGTCCATATGATCTTCCGTCGTATACCAGCCCATAAATATTGGGAGGAAGGACACTAATGCTGGACTGCACCAGACGACTGCAAGCATTATTCCGAGTTTCCCAGTCGTCATAATCAAAGGGTAATCTAAAGGTTGGACGATGGCATAGTATCTGTCAACGCTGATACAGCACAAATGCAAAATGGATGCAGTCGAAAAGTAAACGTCCAAGGAATTCCAGACGTCACACATGAAGTACCCGAAGAGCCATTTTCCGTTGGTGATCTCGACGCTGAAGTTGAAACACATCGCCCATATAGCGACGAGCATGTCGGCAAATGCCAGTGATACCACAAAATAATTCGTGATCACTCTCAACTTCCTGTGTCTCATTACCGATACTATGACGAGCAAGTTGCCGAATATCGCTGCCAAGATGATGAAAAGCATAATCAAGCATTTCAGTACTATTAGAAAAACCACAAACGGCTCGTCCTGGAATTGGTTAGTGTATACCAAGTCGCTGCTGCTCTCGTTCAGCTCCAAGCTTTTGTTCACGTAAGTGTCCGTTAGATACATTGATGTTGATAATTCTCTAAAGTCCAACGTAAAATTGTCAAACGTGTTTATATTCAACACGACTTCTACTTTCATTGTTCACATCTTGTAAACTGTGATCATTTAAGTCAGGTTTATTTCCTTTGTTAGAGTGAAAGAGTTCGTTGTATGAAGATTATGCTTGACACAATCCGCCATTATGTTTCCTCTACGCGCCGGTACCTATAAAAGAAAATACGTCTGTGAGATTTCTTTGTGGTAAAAATGTTTTTTGTTTTGCAGTTTTGCACCAGAAAGAATGGCAACTTGTTATTTGGGGAATATTTACGTGATTTCTTAAAAGTGTAATAAAAACGTGTGATTATGTTCTAGATGACAGAAATTTTCTTCGTGAAGTATTCATCAGGGATTTTATGATATTAAAGAGAATGAAGTGCGGTATCGCGGCATGAATGTTTGTAATATCTACAGATGATTACAAACACAATGAATTTCTTAAGGAAAAAAGAGACATTTGCCTGGACAACTGTCAACTAGATAATTTGGATGCCTTTTGTTGTTTTTTACAATAAAGTTTAGATAAAAAAAAATTGCAATTGGTTCCTTTTTAGGTTTAAACTAAACAACATCATTTGCATTTCTCAGCTTTTGTATTCTGTAAAAATACATCGTCAAACAGAGCACTGTCGCAGCATTAGAGGTTCAATAGAATAAAAAGAAACTTTATTACTTTATGAATTAAGTTTTATTTAGTTAAACCTCTAATTTATGGTTGTGAGAGCACTGAGTTCGACTCGTGTTTTATTAGTATATTATTTCAAATGCCAGTTAACCGCCTTTTAAACAACGAAGGTACCACAGCACTGTACTGGTACCAAGGTCCAGTGATGATTGCCCTGGAAGGTTTTTAAAGGAACTTAGCAATGAAATAACGCAAATGCATCGTGTTTGGGCTCGTTAGATCCGTCTTTATAAGAGGTTTGGTACTGAATGCTTTTCAGACCAAGGCCTGGTGATGATGGAGCTGGAAGGCGGTTATAGGAACTTAGCAATTAAATAATGCAAATGCATCGTGTTTGGACTCATAAGTTCCATCTTTATGAGAAGTTTGGTACTGGATGCTTTCCAGACCAAGGTCAAATCAAATCAAATCAAAATTATTTATTAGGTCTGGTAATGATGGAGTTGGAAGGTGGTCATAGGACTTAACAATTAAATAATGCAACTGCGTCGTGTTTGGTCTCGTTAGATCAGTCCCTAGGAGGACTTTGGGACTGGGTGTATTACACACCTTATTACCATTATTACCACTCTTATTTAAAGAGATTAGTCGCAGAGTTTGAGACTGTTTTTGAATAGCACAACTCTACTTAACCATTTTGTTAAAACAAACAATAGGTACAAAATATTTATATGTACATAAAAAATATAATTGGATGTCTCTTTTATATATTTCCAGATTTTAAAATAGAAGAAATATAACGTGTGAAGTTCTTTCTAAATTCTTTTTACGCCAAGTATTGTGGCAAAAAAGAAAACTCTTCAAAGATCCATAACTTGTTTCATGTCGCCCGTTGGGCTTTATAGTTTTCTTCATACACATTCATATACTTCTAAAAGAAATACACTTTGATATTCTATAAAAACGACGGGATATGAGTCTTCTCTCAACATTTAACATCTCTGGAAGTCGATGTAAAAGTTTAAATAGACACATTATTAATATAATAATGCAATGAAATAAATAAGCTCATTACAATTACAGCCATAATTATTGATTGCAAATACATACTATTTCAAAAAATAATTTTAACATCAGTCCTACTATGAAAGACGATATTTTGAAACATATCTACAAAAATGTCGAATTGGTAACATTTTTTTTTATCGGACAATAATATTTCTAATATCCTCCTCGACAATTTAAAAAAATATAATTTTTCATTTTTAATTAAAGCTAACTAAAGCTAAAGCTAACGCAATATTTTATAATATAGGTAAAGGTCTTTAAAGGAGACATCACCAATTATTCTTAAAATATATACAGCAAATTGTTAGTTGATATAATTAAACTATTTCTGATATAAATGGGAACATAAAATTACATCCACAAACAAGGAACCTTTTTGCGTCCTCCTCAATTTCATTGTGGTTTTACCCGGATTATTATAAATCCCAAGATTTTCTATATAAACGTAAAATTTATCAACTTTTACATATAATACTTAAATTATATTTGCCGACACGCACAACATTAGAATAACGCAATTGAATTAACTTTATCAGTTTATTCGAGTGTTCCAACTGTAATCCCAAATGATATTTCTTGTTGAGTACAAAAAAGTACTTGACAAAGCTTTCATATAATGAAAAAACTAAAAATATATACTTTTTAATTACAATTATTTTTGTAACCAAATCTTTCAAAATCGAGTATTAAATTATTTTAGTGAGTTGAATTAAAGACATTACATTAGTACCATGATAAAGTGCACTACTTATCGTTAAGTTTATTTGAAATCAAAAGCCGTAAAATTAAAAGGTAAAATTCACACAAACACAACCGAACTTTTTACATAAGTATTATATTTAACCAATAATAATTATACGATAAGTTATTTTCAGTTGTTGTAAAGGAAGCCCTCCAAATCAAAAATATATCGTATCCTTAGTAAATTACATTTCCAATTTTATCACGATCGAGTTTCACGTCCGGCGTGCCGAAATTATCCGTACCTTTATTTACAAAGATTATCCCATACGATAGGTTCTGTTCACAGTGCTGACCTAAAATGAACGTTAATTTTCATGTAATAAAATTAAGAATTCTAAATAATATGTAATAGCATCACCAATTTTGATAATGATTAAACATACGGTTAATAAAAGTTATAACCAGTCTTGTTTTACCAACTGTAAGTTGCAAAATACTACTACACACTAGGTTTCTATCTCCATCACACTCTTTGAGGAGAGACAAACGAATCGCCCAATGACGGCACGTTACTAGAGTCATTTTGATTGGCCAGGATCTGATATCTTTATTAATCAGTATTATATAGGATACAGGAATAAAATTTTATCGTGCTACCAGATTATTTTATAAGCTGTATAACCGTGGTAATGGTCCCAGTTGGTAGAAGCAAGTGGTAAGAGAGACTAAAGGGAAATATCTCCCTCTGAGCTGAGTAATGGTAGCTCAGGGATCGCAGGCCAATCGATGTATGTACATAAATTAAAAGTTGTACATATGTGGAGTCGCGGCGAAAATGAGTAAGCGCGATTCAGGTATATAAGAAATCAAATTAATCAGTATTATATAGGATTAATAAAATGTTTGCTATCATATGAATGAGTCTTTACACTCTTCTGATTTGTAGGAAAATGGATGAGGATTTATAACGGTACAATTGGGGTATATTTCTTGTCCTTGTTTACTAGCTTTTTAAAAAAATCTACTAAAAATTCGTAATAACTTCATCTATTTTATAGCTGTATATACCAATATAATCCAATAGTTCCGAAACCTCGAGTGCAAACGAACAATCAAATTTTTCCTCTTTATAATATTAATATAGACAATTGTATCCAAAATAAAAAGTGTGTCTTAACACAGAATCTTAAAATTCCACAAAATTGAAGTTTTAAGGGATTATATTATTATTTTAATAAGTACAATTATACTTAATTTATGTGATTAATGACCTGTAAGGACCTGTAAAATTAATATAAATATATTTCAAATATTACGCGATTTTCTCAAAACCAAAGACATTTATTTAAAAAAAACGGGCTTTTTTAGAAGATCAGTGACCTATGTTTTGACCTATAACATATGACCTATGACATATACTTTGAATACAACATTGATAAGTTGCTTGTTGATAGGGGCCAGAGACCAAGTGGATTTTTTAAGCATTTTGTATTAAGAATAATTTTCAGTACGGCATTGTGAATGCTAAAACAATCAAAATATAATAAACCTAATTGGGTTTTAAAAAGATGGACAATCCTACGCAATGTTAATAGAAGTATTTAACCGACTGAGATTAAAAGTTTCGATATTTGGAAGCCTATTTAATTCAACCCACATTTTCCACGTACAATTAATTAAATTAATATTGATTTGCGAGATCACCTGTGTAGCCCGCTAATAGTCAAAGTTGTGCTGATTGTTTATTTTAGATCCCGTCGAAACCCTCAATTTGCTACCCACCTGAGGAGGTAATTAAGGAAACCCCTCCCCTTCATGAGCTTGTTCAATCACATAAATTCCAAATTTGTTAAGTACAAATATAGGATGAAACCTCATTGATTCATGCAGATTTCTTTCTATATATATAATTTACTTTCCACGTGTTATGTCGACACAAAACAAATATCTATTTTATATACGAGTAAAATAAGTTCAACACCAATATTGAGGCTATTCTTGTAATATAAACAATAGATATATTTGCCCACATCACAACCTACACGATATTCTTCCAAAATAAAGTTCATATAAATATTCTTTAAATTTAAATTGCAGGGTTTGTGTTTATCCCGTACTAGGTAAGTTGTGCAAATATATATTTCTTTATTAAAGCTACTATAAATGATATTTTGTCTGCTTCTTTGCTTCCGCATACATCATTTGGAACCATTAGACTCACTAGACTAGATCTCCTTATAGATGTAGTTATATAATGTAAAGGTTGCATGTTGGTTCACTTTGTAATATTATTTAAATCTAGGAGACATGCAAGAATTAAAGATAAAAATATTATATAAACTTTTTGGACATATATGTCTCTCGATTCAAAATACGAATCGATGAAGTCGAAATGGACTAAGTTAGTAATTCTCACTACAAAATAAAAATCCACTTTTCCCTGGCACCCTGAGATTAGACTCGAACTCATGACCTTTCGCAATCCGAGCGACTGCTTTATGCATTTTTAAAATTGATAAAATATAATATATAATTGATCAATTTTGCATTTATTTTAAAAACTGAACGTAACGACCCGACACACTCGACACCACCGCAGAGATTTTTAAGAGAGCGTGACTACTCTACGTACTTATGTCACTGCATAAGTTAAGTAACTAAC